CCCCTCTCTCTCTTTCTCTCTCTGTCTCATACATCCTATATCCTATATATATATCCTCAGGGAGGAAAGCCAGTGACCAGGATCCCTTTTGGCATCTAAGTTAGGGAGAATCTCTTGTTTCATATAACATTTAATCAAAATAACTCAGTGACAAGGCATCCTTAATGCCTTTGGACTAAACCCAGCTTTTTCAGGAGGAAATATTTTCAAATCTGGTAGAGGGGACTTCACAAAAAGCATTACTAGAGGGTTTAGAGGACCCACGCACCCCTGTTTATTTTTAGGTTTCTAACAGATGGCAGTGCTGCACATTGGTACACTGTTTATTACACATAAAACTGATCTCTATTTTTGTATAGATGTTAAGAACAAGGCACCATTTCTCATTAAACACCCCATAAAATACTAGGCAAAACAACAGTATACCAAGAAAGTCAGGCCTTCCTCCACTGAAATACAAGTTTTCAGAAGAAAAGGCACAGTTCTCTGCTCTTAAAGTTGTTTCCCTCTCCCAAAGACCTCAGAGACTTACTCACAACACAATGACAGCCTAACTCTCTGCTGAAATAAACTCAAGAGATTCCAGTTCAAGCACTACCGTGGTGGTGTAACACATATTGCAGTGTGTCAGTCCCACCTATCAAACTGCTTTGTGTGATCATACAAGGATCCCGTTACTGACACCTCACGGAACTGCGCTGCAGTTTTCAGCTGGAAGAGAACAAACCTTACAGGCAGGTTAAACATTGACCTTTCCCCCCTGGCATCATTTTTTTCAACTTCTTATCATCCAAGTTCTGATTATGTGCAAGATAGCAAAGTTCCTGGCAGTGTGTGTGTGTGTGTGTGTTCCAGGGCTTCAAAGCTTTGGCAACAGCTTTTCCCTGTGACTTCTTTGCGTGCAATGGGCTTGGAGCAGTCACTGATCTACAGCCAGTGTTTTAGTTCCCACTCTCCTCCAGCCTGGGCAGCTCTGGAGTCTGTCCATCAGCAGGATGTGTACTGCAGGAGGTCTCTGTGACAATCCTGACCAGGACCTAAAGCTGTGGGTTCACACACCTCAATCACCTGTCACTAAAATCAGTTTTCATTTAATCGAATCACAGAATGATCTGGCTTTGAAGGGACCTTCAAAACCATCTCGTTCCACCCCCTGCCATGGGCAGGGACACCTTCCTTTATCCCAGGTTGCTCCAAGCCCTGTCCAACCTGGCCTTGGACACTTCCAGGGATCCAGGGGCAGCCACAGCTTCTCTGCCCAACCTGTGCCAGGGCCTGCCCACCCTCACAGCCGGATATAAAGCCCTGTCTGTCAGTCCACCCTCTGGGATGACAACCCCCTTTGTGCCCCCTGGGTTCCACGACCCCCTCTGGAACCCAAACACCAAGGGCACCAAGGTCAGGCTGACAGGCCTGGAGTTTCCTGGGTCTTCCTTCCGGTCCTTCTTGTGGATGGGTGTCACACTGGCCATCTTCCAGTCATGTGGGACCTCTCTGGTGAGCCAGGACTGGTGGTAAATGACGGAGAGCGGCTTGGCGAACTCTTCCGCCAGCTCCCTCATCACCCTTGGGTGGATCCCATCTGGTCCCGTAGACTTGTGAGGATCCAAGTGGCTGAGCAGGTCACCAACTGCTTTCTCTTGGATTATGGAGTGTTGGCGACCAGACTTATGAGTGCCTGGACGACTGGAGAAAGAACAGAGACCAAAACACCAGTTTTGAAGCATGGAAAGTGCAGAGAGATAACTTGGAACAGAGACTTTAATAATCACCTCATGGACTGTTGCGCAGTAGCCTGTGTTTCCCTACTAAACCTATTGTTAGGGTGTCTACCCTCCATTTTCCCTTCTTCTCCCTTACAGCCGATAAGCCCTCTCAGGCTTGGCAACACTCTCCCCATTGGTTAGTTTACCATAAGGTACTCTCCAATCATGTTCTCCCAAGTTTTCTCCTCCCCAGTTGACACCCACTCCTTGTTATGT